AACAAAAAAAAAAAAAAAAAAAAAGACAACATAAATGAACATATTAATTGAGGTTGATGGGGGAAAAACCCTTAAAAGTGACCATATGCCTAAGAAACTTAAAAGAGAACTATGAGGCGAGTGAAAATCACTCATCCTCATAGCTTGAGCCGACGGGTGACAATGAAACTGTCACCCGTCGGCCCAATAGATCGGGAAGTGAGCGAACGCATACTGTCGCTCGCTCACTTCTTGATCATCTCCCTGCAGAGAGCAGTGACTGTCAGTCATGGCTCCTTGCAGGGATCCCCCCCCCCCGCTTGCTCCGATGCTCCAGTGCTGACTGGAGGAACGGACGGGTACAGCTGGCTCTGCCTCTAGATAGGCAGAGCCCGCTGTCATTTACCCAGCTGGGTGGATCTCAACAGTAATGCCGGGATCCGCCCCGGCTGCTGCGGTCTCAGTATACTGCGAGCTGTAGCTTGCAATATACTGAGCTTGGGGTCACAGGAGGACACTAGTATATGTCCTCCTGTGGCCCTTAAGAGAAGTATGGGGAAAAAACAATTACCCCATACATCACTACAGAACATAATACCGACATAACAAGAGACACGCTATCTGCATGCTGGGAGCTCTTAAAGAATGCCAAGATTTAACATATATTTATAGTTTGCAAGACAGCGACAAGGTCTCTAACACCAGCCAGACTCTACTAATAATTTTAGAAGCAAACATAGCATAAATCATTCATGTAACAAGCATGCAGTAAAGTCGGCAGACCTTCAGTGAACAGAGAATAAAATGATAAATAAGCAAACACTTGACGTGAATGAAAATACATTATTATGTTTTTGTGAACTGATGATAAATCTGATGATGACTGATGATAAATCATTGCTGCAGAAAATGGAAAGATACCTATGCTACAAGTAGAAATCAGTGTAACACCTTCTAATTTATAACATGTTGGAGGGAGCAGAGGGCTGGGAAGATCTGCGCCAAATTGGATGGACGCCGCGAGCTGCGGACTGGACGGAGAGCGGAAAGCGAACGTTACATAGAGGCACAAGCTGATCACGGGTGTGAGAAGCCGCCACTTGCTTTTGACGAATAGCCGGGGTTAACTGCGATACTGCAGGGGAGAAACAGCTACCGTTATCCGATCCACTGCCGAGACTAGAATTAAATATATTGAGCGGGTGGATGGAGAGACCGAATCGATACCTTTCAGAGGGGCAACCCTTACTCACTAGATCTGGTGAGTAATTACTGCTCGGGGGGCTGCTGGTCTAAAAGATTGAGAATAAGAAGAACCGTTTTCTCCACTACTAGAAGTGTTCATCAATGGATTTAGTTAAACACTTTTTTTTTCTTCTTCACTGACACTTGAAATAATGTTTACCGGGACTGATTTAGAAAGTATCAATTCTTATTGACACTGAATATTTTTGCTACACTGTGCCTATAACCTAATGGATTGTTTATGCTTTAGAATTTAAAGGAGAACTATGGGGTTGAGGCTACAGCTCATGCTATACTGAGAAGCGCAAGCTGAAGCGTATCCCGACAATTATGTCTGGATCCGCCCTGCTGCGTGAGTGACAGCTGGCTCTTCCTATCTAAAAGGCAGAGCCAGCTGTACCTGCCCCCTCCCCCGTCCGTTCCGCCAGTCAGCGCTGGAGGATCGGAGCGGGGAGGGGGGAATCCAGCCCCTCCCCTGTCACGGCAGAGAGCCGTGACAGGATCGTGAAGTGAGCGAACGCCGGTATGTGTTCGCTCACTTCCTGATCTACTGAGCCGACCTGTGACAGTCTCATTGTCACAGGTCGGCTAGAACTATGAGGTGAGTGAAAAGCACTCACCTCATAGTTCTCCTTTAAGGTTGCATCACTGAAAGTTTCTCCACGGAGTTCGAATTGATTACGTTTATAATATTCACATTTGTTCATTCAATCATATTTATCATTGCACGAGGAATTTTTACAATTTTTCACCTGTAACACTGGGTATTTAATTTTTAGTGATTTGCTCACCCTTAGCGCGGTGTTATTTTCTTTAATACACAAGGTTTTCCTTTTCTCATTGCAGCTTTGAGGTTAATAGCTTTTAGCTAGGAGCACAGATTTTTTTTCCTCTCTCTATAATTTATAATATAACAGCTTGCACTGCACAGTTTCAGAAGAAAGACATGTATATGTTTAACATCATATGCACATTATTACCATGTATTATATCAGAAGCACTGGTGGTTGCAGGAATGAGAGATCAAGGAACACGTACTTTTATTTTTAGACACAGGACTACTGGATGGATGACTGCTTTCTTGGAGTCCATTGGGGATACAGGAAGTCTAAACCAGAGATACTGCCACTTGCAGGGGGATTGGACACTGACAAACAGATAACTGTAGACTGGCCCAGGGTACAACCATTCCTACTACCAGCATGCACTTTGTAGCAAAGCAGTACCAAGAGCATGATCATAAATACAGAATGATGAGACCTGTGTGTGTAAAATGACTTGAAATGAAGCAAAAAGATTTTACAGTCAGTGCAGAAATCCTATTTTCTTTTTTGTCCATTGAGGGACACAGGAAGACCTAAAATTTTGAGTTTTCCAAAGCAGTCCAACTGAGAGGTGGGAAGCAGAGTACACAAAGGCTAACAGGCCCAAGAAAACAACAAAGAACTGGATACTGTCTGCAGCCTAAAGAGCCGCCTGAAGGACCTGAGGATTACCACAATGCTCTTTCACTCGATCCCGGGGAGAAGCTGAGGAAGAAGTTTCAGGGGAGGAGAGTCACAGATCAATATGTACTGGTCGTAGGGAGCCAACAATGCATCCACTGCTTCTGCCAATGGACCCCTGCACCTGCATACAAAACCTGTCCAGTTTGTTGTTAAACATGTGACACAAGCCCTGAAACACCTCTGCGTGTAAAGACTACTCTCTCAGGTCCAGACTTTTCCAGCTCAAAGGTCTGCCGGCAAATTGTCTATGCCTGGAATGTACACAGCTGACAAGCCTGGAAAGTGAAGTTCTGCTCAAGACAAAAACTGGGACAGCCAAATCGCCCAAAGCACCAAGATGTTTTTGTTCAACTAGATTCCTCTGACGACCATGTTAGGGGCCCTACACAATTCAAGAATGGAAACAGCACTGGAAAAAGCAACAGCCTAATCCTCTAGCTTCAAGGTGTTGCACGCTGCATTATTATGAGCCGTGAAACAATCTCCTTTAACTTGGGACTAATATAGGTAGACTGCAACTTTTCAGGGATAAGCTCATCTGACAGGGACTTGAGCGACACACAGCCAGAATCTCTGTGGCCATTGGCTCAGAAGCCGCTGAGGCTACGTGTAAGTCAAACAAAGAATCTGTTGGAGAAGGAGTGCAACCACAATTCTAGCCTTTGTGATTCAAGTCAGCAAAAAACAGGGTGATTTGAGTCAAAGTCCTTCTTAATCATAGTAAAAACATAAGCCAAGAGGGCAGATGACCCTGGTCCACCTGATAGAGCCAAGAAAGTCTCTAGGATAGAAAATACTCTAATAGATGAGGACAACATGATTTCAGGCTGCAAACATTGGCACCACCAGTAGGCACACTGCATGTCCATTGATTGAAAGAGAGTTGGGGGTACGCATCTAGATTCAGACATACTGCAAGTGGCTCTCCCAACAACAGAAGCAGATTTCTAGAGGCTGTATGGCGGGAAAGAGAGTGCAAAACATGCCTGTGACATTCCATGCAGCTAGCCAGGAGGAAATGGGGAATAACCAATAAAAATGAAGGAGCTCCTGGTGCTCAGCTGACTGGCCTACTTACTGAGTGAGTCTTTAGAGACAAGCTCAGAGGCAATGCCAGTGGCTGTAGACCTGGAAAGCTGCAAGGTGAACCAGAACGAAGTCTGGAAAACGCCTCATGCAGAACCCAGTGCCCAAAGGTCACTTCTTGGCTAGCCCTGCTACATCCAGTCCAGCAGAGTCCAGATGTGGTACGTTCCAAAAGTCAGGCTGAGGATGACTATGCCAGATAGCTGCATATTTGAGTGGAAACCTCCAGCAGTGGTGTAGAGAAGAGTCTTGATTAAAGAAAAAACAAAGGAGAAAAAAATTGCAACAGCAGAGTTGAGGAAAGGATGTCCATCCTCCTAGGACACAAAACAAAGCAAAAAACGGAGGCATGCTAGTAATAGGAGGTGTTATACCCTGGCTGGCTTACAGTTTTGTTTGCCAGTGTGTAATCCTCCTGTAGGCCGGTGTGTAATCCTCCTGTAGATGGCAGTACAACTCAAATGTTAAAATGTTCTGTGTCTCTCAAAGGACGAGCAAGAAATGGTGTTTCTTATATTTCCAGAGCAAAAGCAGGTAGCAATTTGTACAGTTTGCAAAAACATTAAATAATTTAAAATACATCTCTTTTTTTAAATCACAGTTGGCAATTTACTTTAACTATTTACTTACCTTGGGAATCCATTTTCCACCAAGGAACTTATTGCAGAGGGGACAAACAGGAGGTTTATGCCTTGTTACATAGCTAAAAGTGCATGTGGGGTTTGTGCAGCTGCCTCGCCCTCTTCTGGTGTACGTGGTAGCCTGCAGGACAGGGAAGGGAACGGTTACTTTTCTCACACATAACACGAGAGACACATTAAGAGACTGCCATTACATTAACAGTATGTAAACTACTACATGAAAACTGTATTTTATAGGAAAAACATGGTAATTGTTTATGGTACACTGTACTAAACTAAAGGTCATACAGTTAAGGCCTAAATCTACTTTAAATCAATCATGTGACACATTATTTGGCTCATATGACCACATTCTGCCTGTTATTTTAAGGCTGAAATCCAGGCAAACATCTAAATACTCAGATGAAATACATATATGAGAGCCATTTTACCTGCCAAAGTATATGTGTTTCTGTTGATCCATTTTTGACATTTAAGGTGGTCATACACTGTGAAAATTGCAGCCACTTTTGGAGGAACCGGACGAAATTCGTACAGTGGGTGCCGCTGTCGTTACCCTTTTGGCCGGCATCCCTTGATCAGCTGATTGAAGGAGCCAGTAAAAAAATAAATCTTCCTATGAACAGAACTGCCAGTCAATAAGCTGCTGGCTCTGTTCGGGTATTCTGACAGCAGACGTTGACCGCTGTCAGAATACAAAAGAAACAGTGGGGATTCCTCGATCAATGCACCGGAGGCGATGACGGAAGAATCTGCTCTATATTTTTTTTTTTCAGCCCGCGGGTTGAACTCAACAATAGAGCAGTGTGTGGCCAGCTTTACACAGCTCTACCAAACAGCACAGTCCTCCTTGGCAGGGAAAGAGACCTGTTCCTTCTCTGCTGCAATGCTACTTTCACTTATAGGTCTCCTCCACACCCAGTGACTGGACAGTGAAAGGAGAACAGCACACATATGAGCTCATCTCTCTGTTGCCCTTCTATAAGCATGCTCTTTACACTGCAGCGAGTCACATCGACTCCGTGTTCTGCTTTCCCTCCCCCTCTCTGAGCTCTGTTGTACATTAGACTGCAAAAGGCGGATCAAATTTAGCTAATTACATTTAAAAAACTCAATTTAATAATGATTACAGACCTGCATCAATTTGTTCATTACATGTTTGCACTTAAAATTACTCAATTGAAATAGCTTTCCATTTGCTCAGTTCTAGTTTTTATCACTATTCTTCTAACATTAACTGCTCAGCCATGTAAACCCCTAATGTGGTGGAGAAAATGTAGCCCAGTGTATTTAAAAGAGAGCTTATTTATCATTTTATTCTGTGAGCACTGAAGGTCTGCCGACTTTACTGCATGCTTGTTACATGAATGATTTATGCTATGGTTGCTTTTAAAATTATTAGTAGATTCTGGCTGGTGTTAAAGAGACCTTGTCGATGTCTTGCAAAAATAAAACTGGAGGCCCCTTAAAACAAAAAGAATGTTTAAACTTATTTTTACAGCAGGCTACATGTTAAATATTGGCGAGGGGAGGGGGGAATCCCTGAGGGGAGCCGTGAATGACAGTCACCGCTCACTGCAGGGAGATGATCGGGAAGTGAGCGAACCGGCTGCATCTTTCTGCTCACTTCCCTTACTGACCAACCAGTCCTGATATTTACAGAGTCCTGCCTCAGAGCACAGTCAGGCTGATAACCTGACCTCCCTTTTACTGTAGTTGTGCAATACAGCCTGGTCACCTCCCTGCTCCCAGTCTGTGATTTGATACTAAGGATACAGCAGAAGACCAATGAGATCATGACTCTATTTTTAAAATGTTCCTTTTTAGCACATGTGCATTGCAGCTCACCTGACAGTTTGCTAGTGCTGCCCACCCCACTCCCATTCTAAGTGCTGCTGTTCAAGGAATAATAAGAGCCCAATACCAAGTCAAATTCAAATACATATGCTAGTTGCCCATTTTTTATAAATATGGTGCTACAGTAGATGGTGCCGTTTTAGATCTGCCTGGATTTCAGATTTCAATCTTTGTGAATGGTCCTCCTTTCCCGTGTTGACAATTTTACGATCCTGTTCTCTCTTGGTGCCTTAAACATGGGGTAATCAGCTAAATACAATATATAAATAATATAAAGAAGTGTTGTTACAACCTGAAACCTTCTCAATGCTCTGACCAAGTATGGAGCATGCCAGTACTCACCAGTTTAATAGAGCGAGAGGTCTCTGTAACGGAGCGATTGGTCATAGGCAACATAATAAACTGGGAGGGGGCAGATGGAGTAGAGTTATCCTCCGTGTCCTGTGGAAAAAAGTATTGCCATAAAAAAATGATGTAAGAATTATAGCATGAGTGGTTACTTCATGTTTGCTTTCCAATTTTTTCTCTCGTTATAACCTGACTTAATATTTACTAGTGGTAAAAAAACATGTCTGCTCCCCTTACCTGGATGGCCATAACTGTGACAACAGACATTCCTCTATGTAAGTCTGACCTTGCCACTGCAAGGCCTCCATCTTCCTCAATGACCATGCTAGTGGCTGGATAAGTGTTTGTTTCTCCAATCTCCAAAGTAGCATCATCTAGGATGAGCTCCCCTGCAACTTTATCTGTCCCAGCACAATGGGAGTACATCCCACCAGCAATGACTTCTCGCACTGCATTTGCTCCTTCATTGGCAAGTCCCTCTAGATCGATGAGTTGTTCAGAAAGGCCTGCTTCCAAAGTACAGACATTCTGCCCTCCACTGTGGGACAAAGCAGCTGAAGGAGCCAGGACTGCAGTTTCCCTATGATAGTTTAGGCTTACATCTTCTTCTGCAGCAGGTTTAGGCACCAGGATGTATTCTGAACGGGGAAGGATCTTTCTAAAGCCAGGGACATCAGAAATCACAGTGGACGGGCCGGATTTAATGTTCTGTCCAAATGAAAACAGACATTACAACATGTTAAAGAATATAATACTCAGGCCATGTAGCTGTCAATAAGCTGCCAGTATAATAACATTTACACATTAAATATTTATGGAATAAAAGTTTACAAATTAGTGTTCCCTACTAGGGCTGTGGAAATTAAAGATGAATTTCTCGATTAATCGTTAAACTTTTTGATCGATTAAAATTATTTTGATCGCTAATGAAAACACTCACCTCTCTGCCGGCTTCCGGGAGTCCCGTCGGCGTCACCGGACTCCTCCCAAACTTGCTCCCCCTAGGTGGCTACATTCATTACTTCACTGTATATTTCACCATATATTTCACACAGTATGGACTTTAAACATGTCAGCCTTTGTTAATTTTCATTACATGGAGGATCACGGCATAAGGATTTTATGGTGAGTACACAAATCCTATTTTCTTTCTTGTCAATTGAAAGACACCGGAACGTCTTTAACTACTTGCCAGCCGCCCGTTGTAAATAACTGGACAGACAGCAAGTGCCTTACTGCAGGTCGCCTTAGCTGTACAGCATTTTCTTTTTGCGAGTGAAAGCAGGACATGGTAAACGCATTAAACAGCCGGTATTGGCAGTTACATGCAAGTGTTGATCACTTGTATGGTACCAAGGAGTGTGCTCCCCCCCCCTCCCCGCCAGGCTCTGCTGTCCCCCATGCAGGCCCGGGACGAGCACAGCAGCTCTCTGTACTGGGATCTGGGCTAAAGCCAGAGATGAAGCAGATCTCTGCTTCGTCAGCTTCTTTGGAGGTCCCTAGGTGACATTAGGGGTCTTATATACCCCTAATGTCTTCATAAAGCGGCCTGTCACTGTATATTTGCTATCACAAAGGGGGATTGTTATCTGCTGAGTGGAGTGATGCATGCTCTTTGCATGCCGGTGCCGGTGTTCAATCCTTGTATAGATAACAGTATAGCCCAAAGGTTAGAGACTGTGTGCCTCAATGGACAAGAAAGAAATATTGTTTTTTGGAACAGACTTACATGGTTGCTCAAAAATATCCATGTAAAACTATGCAAAATCTAAAATACAGTGTAAAGCCTGCAATGATTGCTTTATATAGTAACTAAAATAATAAATGTGATCCAATAGATCCCTCAATTTATTTTAAATCATAGTTTCTATAAAGCCCCTGTAAGCAGCAGGACACTTACAGGGTCCAGGCCCTCCTTCTCTAGCTTGGCTCGCTCCAGGTAATAGCTCTTCTCGGCCACACTCAGCAGTTTCCAGCTCTCACTGATCTTCTTGTTGATTTCCGATTGGGGCAGGTGAGGCACCTCTTGCTGGACTTTGAGGTAGATATCATAGTAGTAGAGCAAATAGGCTGACCTGAAAAACATGAACAGGTTTCACATAATAAACAAGGTTCTCGTTTTACAAAGGCTTAAAGTAAACCTTTCATTACCCTAATGGCACTGAACAGGTAATAGTACTAATATGTAGCAACAGCATGCTTTAAAGCATATTTTATAGACACGTGCGGAAGAGATGCATGGTGTTGAGAATCTTGGGGAGCTATAACATGGAAATTTTAAAGTCTTCGGGGTGTGTCAAGAGCTTGCCTGCCTCCTTCCACACATTTCTACTGGCCCATCACTACTAAAGGAGGTCTTACTGGCTAGTTAGGAGTAAAGCAAGCTCTTTACATTATTGGGAAGTGTTGACATTTGCATGTTACAGCTTGCTGAAACATGAGGAACTCTATAAAAGATATGTACAGTACATGACTCTGCTATGTGCCTGCATTGTAGTTCTGAAGTCTATTCAGTATCATTAGGGTTTTGACAAGTACACATAAAAACAAAATGACATAAAAAAATAACATTTTAGGCCGGATTGGTCATTTTGTTAAAGCTACACACTTAAAAAAACACAAGTTGTGCAGGTAACGTGAGAATCTTGGAGTGTGGAATGGCATTGTGGCATAGGAGACTGTTGTTGACCAGAATGTCCTACCCCCTAGCTCCCCCACCTTAGACCTACTTTCCAATAGGAGGAGTGAGCTGCTGCATTTTGCGTACAGCTGCAAAGCAGACGCCAGATTCCTTTGTGCTCTGCATAATGTGACTTTTCTCACACATTCCACAGAGAACAGGTGAGGCCATGTTCCAGCACTATAGCAGTTTGCCTTTTCTGATGACAAGCAGGCTTGAAATAATTACTGCTACTATGCCCAGCCACAATTCAGAATAGTAGCCCTCTGATTTACTGTTATGGGCAACACTGACACATTTGTTTTCTACAGTTTTCATTAGAACAAATCCTTGAAACTAGCAGGAAAGCAGGCTAAAGAACTTCTAAACAGCTGACTGGCTGCTACAGACGTGAAAGCAGTCAACATATTAACTCGTAACACACACACACACACACACACGGGCATCTGCTGCCCATTAATGCCCAGAAGATATGCTAAGTGCTGGACAGTCTTTAGCGGCACCTTCAAATCTCTAAGCCTGTGTTATGATATCCACACCCAACCAACCTTTCTAATCAGCTGACTTCTAGTTCCTGACCCTGACCTGCTCCAGCACATTGTTCCTGTAACTGACCTAAATCCGTATTCAAATGTGTTAACTTTGGCTTATTCCTATAAATATGAAACTGATCCACCGACCACGTCCTCAAGCAGTCCCCCATCAATGAGCCACATACACCTGTCCAGGCTTTGGCCTGCTGTTTAACTTCAATACCCACATTTCTGCTTTGCTCGCTCTCACTTCATCACCAGGTATTACTGCGTCAGTGAGAGGTGCACAGTCTGCCAAACTCTCCAAAGCTTGTGACCACCAGATACGTGTACATGACACTTTGCTTATCCCATGTTCCATAAAACACTAACCTGGGTTTCTTCATGGAATCCCTCTGCTCAGTGCATCCTCTGTATTTCTTCTTTTTAACAGGTGGCTTAGCAGGCACATAGTTTCCTTCAATTTCCTCAGACACCACTGTAACCTCCGTGCCATCAAAGGGGTCATCCATGTCTAAAGAAAACACAGGAACAAAAATTATCTATGTCTTCTTTATTAATATTTCTATAAAAAGGTTTTAAAAAAAAAATTAAAATTAATAAACAACCTGCCCAAGTAGGAAATAAAGAAAGTAATTCGAGGGCTGGCAAAGGGAAATAAATGGGCAAATCATTTCCTATCCCAAGCCACTGCTGCCAAGTAAGAGGGGTGGATAAGAATGTCTTCACAAGGGTATGCTGTACCACTTGGTTCCGGGGATACAAATAAACTAAGAAGGATTTTCTTACAAACTCTTACAAGCCGGAACACTCTCTCTTTTGGGAGGGGAGATAGCAGGTCATTTATGAGGATGGCTTAGGGAGGGGAGATAGCAGGTCATTTGTGAGGGTGGCTTAGCATTTTCTACAAGCAAGTGAAATCCTGTTACTTGCAGGACCTCCAGGTAAGAAAATTTGCAACGGGTTCACAGAAAATAATTTTCTTAACAAACCTGTATACAATGACGTTTGATGGCAAATATACAGAAAAATTGATTTGGGGTATACAAACGCAGTGAAAATAGCCACCTGAAGCTTACACAGGGTGAACCCATGGCTCAAATGGAAGAATGAACCTACATGGAAGCTTGAGGAAGGCAAGTACCAGTAGGTGTGTGTGTGTGGTTGGGCCAGCATTCCAAAAAAAACCCTCAAAAAACAAACAACAACAACCCGGCAACCAATGAACGAGGCTGGAAAAAAAAAAAGAAGAGCTGCTTAACAAAAATTTGCCATGTGGTTTCTCATCGTTATTCAATGACAGCGCAAAGCTACCAATACAAAATGCCAAGGAACTAAGAGGGTATAATTAAGTGAGGTGCTACTTAAGCTGGGTATACACCACTCAACTTTTTTTTTTACGAAAGGTGATGGACAAATCCCCTGCTAATTGGCTGTTAGCTCCGGTCAGTTGAAAATTTTCCTGGCTCCTTTCATCAGCTAACCGAGGGATCCTGGGTGGAAGGGTGCCGACAGTGACACCCATGGTGCGAATTTCAGGACAGGTCATCAGGAACCGGCCGAAATTCGTCCCGTGTATACTGTACCTGGCTTAAAGTGGACCTTTACCCATATCTTTAAAATAACAACAAACACACCTTTAGACAGTGGCCATGTTTACTAAGGGCAGATAACTAGCTCTCCTTTAACTTCCTGGATTTATGGCACATGCAACTAGACATGTGACTAGGACATGTGACCATGTGCATCATCTTAAGGGAGGAAAATGCCTTTCACTGAGATGAGATTTCACAGCAATGCTCTGCTGATGACAATCCCAGTGTGCATGGTGGCTTTGGCAAACTGAAGTCATTTTGCCCTTTCAAAGCAGGAAGTGAAGCTCTGCAAGTGTAAGTATTTCATATTCACAGGATTTTACACCAGACATGTCTATGTTATTATTAATCAACATACATACAGTGTGTAAAATAACTATTTGATCCCCTACAGATTTTGTAAGTTTGCCCACTTACAAAGAAATTAAAGGTCTATAATGTTTATCATAGGTGTATTTGAAATGATAGAGACAGAATATCAACCAAAAATCCAGGAAAATAACACATGATACAAATGTTATAAATTGAGTTGCAGTTCAGTGAGTAAAATAAGTATTTGATCCCCAAGCAAAACATGACTTAGTACTTGATGGATAAACCCTTGTTGGCAAGCACAGTGGTAAGACGTTTCTTGTAGTTGGTTACCAGGTTTGCATACATCTCAGGAGGGATTTTGGTCCACTCTTCTTTACAGATCTTCTCTAAATCTTTAAGGTTTCTTGGCTGTTGCTTGGCAACTCAAAGTTTCAGCTCCCTCCATACATTTTCTATAGGATTAAGGTCTGGAGACTGGCTAGACCACTCCATGACCTTAATGTGCTTCTTCTTGAGCCACTGCTTTGTTGCCTTGGCTTTATTTTTTGGGACATTGTCATGCTGAAAGACCCATCCTCAGTGTTCTGGCTGAGGGAAGGAGGTTCTCATCAAAGATTGACCGCTCAATGCGGCAAAAGTCGGCTTGTACCTTTTAGCAGAGAAACAGCTCCAAACCATAATGTTTCCACCTCTGTGCTTGACTGTAGGGATGGTGTTCTTAGGGTCATAGTCAGCATTTTTCTTCCTCCAAACACGGCGAGTCGAGTTAATGCCAAAGAGCTCAATTTTGGTCTCATCTGACCACAGCACTTTCTCCCAATCCTTCTCTGAATCATTTAGATGTTCATTGGCAAGCTTCAGACGGGCCTGTTCATGAGCCTTCTTGAGGAGGGGGACCTTGCAGGCGCTGCAGGATCTCAATCCATGGTGGTGTATTTCTCAAGATCTTTCTTACCCCATGAGGCGAAATCTTGCATGGAGCTCCAGACTGAAGGCGATTGTAGGTTATTTTGTATTCCTTCCATTTGCAAATAATTTCCTTCTCACCAAGCTTCTTGCTGATGGTCGTGTAGCCCAATCCAGCCTGGTGCAGGTCTACGATCTTGTCCCTAATGTCCTTTGACAGCTCTTTGGTCTTGCCCATGGTGGTGAGGTTTGAATGGAAGAAAGAGATTCTGTGGAGAGGTGTCTTTTATATAAATAACGAGTTGTTGTTAGGAGCACCTTCTTAAATTGACAGGACTAATCTGTGTACCACATAGCCAGTGTGTGGGAGGAGCCAGAATTATTATTGGTTGGTAGGGGATCAAATACTTATTTTACTCACTGAACTGCAACTCAATTTATAACATTTGTATCATGTGTTTTTTCTGGACTTTGGGTTGATATTCTGTTTCTATCATTTAAAATACACCTATGATAAAATCTAAAGACCTTTCATTTCTTTGTAAGTGGGCAAATAATTATTTTCCTCACTGTAGAGGGATGCATTGGCAGAATGATTTTTGAGTGTAAAGGTCTGCTATAAGCCTTAGATCATTCACAAAAGAACACTGAAAAACCTCAGTTATAGCCTGCTTTTAATAAAGCAGAACTCAGGGCAGATGTACAAGTGACTAATTAATGCAGCTATATCTACATATATTAAATATATTTACTTTACTTTTAGGGGCTTCAGGGAAATATTGGGGGTCTAAACAGACCCCTAATATTTCCCTTTTAAAATAGAAAAAGAGATTGAGGACACAATCTCTCTTCTGCAGCCCCAATTATAAATGAACAGGGATTCTCTACACTGAGTGTTCCTGATCATTCATAACTTGTAGACATAGTGTGTTTACTATAGCCACAATCATGAATGAACAGGAGGTGATGTAGATCACTTCCTATTCATTCATAATTGACGACACTGCAAATAATTGAGGACATAGTATGTTTGTATGAGTGTTTGTACCCGCTTTCCTTCCTGACACGCTGTCACTGGAGGCTGGGTGGGGCGTGAGGAGAGCTCAGCCTTCTGTGACAGCTGTCTGCGCCCACACCGCCGCTCTCCATCCTGGCACGCTGTCACAGGAGGCTGAGCAGGACGGGAGGAGAGCTCAGCCTCCTGTGACAGCGATGGCGGTCTTGTCCCACACCGCCGCTCTACTGATCTGTGACAGGAGGCTGAGCGGTGCGAGGAGGAGAGACGACGGCTGCTCACAACGCTCTCCTCCCGCAGCGTTCGGCCTCCTGTGACAGTTTCTCTCCTCCCCGCTGGGACACAGAGCAGTGCCCAGCGGGGAGGAGAGAAATCACGGATGTACCGCTATTTCGGCCAAAAAAATGGCACTTTCGCCATTTGCCAAAAGTGCTATTTTCAGCCAATATGTTTCGGCGGCCGATATATCCGTGTATCCCTAATATTTATATTATAGTTATATAAGGGCTGCAACAACTAATCGATTTAATGGATAAAAAAAAAAAAAAACGATAATGAGAATGGTTGTCAACGATTCTCATAATCGATGAGTTGATTTTCAGTTAGTTGCAGCCGCAGCTCTGCTCCAATGTTCTCCTCTTCGCTGGGAGACGCTGCATGCGGCAGTCTGTGCCCCCTTCGATTAGAGGGGGCACAGAGCACTGCAGCCAGCACCCAGTGGGGAGTAGAGATCGCTGAGCCTCTGCATGCTGCCCACGATCCTCCTCTGCTTCCTCCGTGCCTCTGATGCTGCCTGCGATCCTCCCGTGTCCCCTCTTCTGCCAGCGGTAGAAAGCCGGCATCAAGTCTCCCATCCAGCGGATGGGTGCAATAGCCAGCCTGCTATTGGCTATTTTAAATTGCAATAGCCAATAGCAGGCTGGCTATTGCACACACCCACTGCCTGCTGTCAATCAGCAGAGGAGAACCTGAAGGAGGCAGGAGTGCGCAATAACCAGTGTTCCTACTGGCTGTTGCAATTTAAAATAGCCAATAGCAGGCTGGCTATTGCTCCCAGCCACTGCCTGCTGTTTATATTCAGCTGCCTCAGCAGGCAGCTGTCATTCCCCACTGAAGTGCACAGGTGACACTAGAGGTCTAACAGAACTAGTGTCACCTTAAAGAGAACCTGTCACCTCCAATGTGCTATCACATAGGGGGCTTGAGAGCCCCCCTTGTGATAGCAATAAAGTTAAGTAAGAATCAGCCTATCAAATTCTGCTGTGCGTTGCGGTGCCATTCATTTCAGTGGCACCCCAAACGCGCTTCCCGTCTGCAGTGTGATCGCCCGCACTGGAACTTGTGGTACTGCAATTCCATGCATTCCAGTGGGATGTGATTGGAAAAAAATGTGCATGCAGTTTTATTCTAAAGTAAACTTTATGTTTGGAACAATCTATTTGTGTATTTCATTTTAAATAAAAGATGGTATTTAATTTTTTTATTGGATTCGCTTGTACCAAACCAGTCTGTCAACACAGGCCCTAAATACATTTTTTGAAAATCCAGGCAGCGTAAGTATAAGCCTGTTGCAATTCCCTAAACAGAAACACTCCAACTGAGCAAGGAAGGGGCAGCAGTGGGAGCCAATCAGGTGTGTGGCATGCAAATGTGCTGACCAGGAACATGCTGATAGGAGACGAG